TCGGCAATCGAGCAGGCAGATTAGCTGATGGTAAGCAATCAGCGCTGCCCATGGACACCCGCAACGGAGGAGTTACGAGTGCGTTGCCGACCTTTTAGGGATTAGGGATTAGGAGATTTGGGGATTGAGGAAGGATTGGAGGAGGGGACGAATTGGGCTTCCGTTAACCTCACTCACACGGCGAAACACAACGCTGTGGTTGTTTCACGCCGGTTTTCTGTGAGGCCGTGGTATCACTCCGGTCGAGCCGACCCATTCGTGCCGAAGCATGGCTCTCCCACACTTAAAACCACTTTCCACACACTTTTATAATAAAATTACAACTACAGATGTTACGAGAGCGTTGCCGGCCTTTTGGAGATTAGGGAAGAGGGGAAGAAGAATTGGATCTGCGGTAACATCACTCATACGGTGAAGCAGCGCTGTGGTTGCCTATAAAACAGTGGTGTTACTCCGGTCGACCCGACACATATGTACGTACCTGCCGAAGCATGGCTCTCCTTTGTTGATATTTAATTAATCATGCAGCATTGACCTGTTTAATAGCCACCGATAACTAAAAAAAAATACTAAATCAAATGCTGGTATTCACCCGTATGTTGGTATAGATACTCTGGTATTAATTAAACACAATTTAATTGATTCGAGTATTCGACCTTCAATTTCAGTGCACATGTGGTATGGCCCACGAAAACGGTAGCACAGAAACAAAAACAATTTATTATACAACATATGGCTATAAGCATATGGATCACAGTCCGACCCTTGTGTCTGTAAATAAGTTCAAAGAACAATTACGTCATCGTTATACACGAGTTTATATTATTACGTCATAATTGAAACGCAATTTTAGCGAAGTCTGACGGCAGTTCTGGATTCAAGCTAATCGGTAATGAATTATGTAAAACACGAAGAATGATAATTATAGTAGCTTTATATGTATTAGCATATCGCAGTTCCATCTTTTGAAGAAGATGCCAATCATGGCATTTCGATTAAGAACTGATTTTTCAATAGTCAGATAAATGTTATCTGGGGAATAAAATTGTTGCTGTCACTGTCTTATACAAACATTCTGACGTGACAGCATCATAATTATTCCCCAGGCAACTTTTATCTAACCATTGAAAAATCAACCCTAAAAGAAACAAGTTCAACATGTGGTTAACTGAGTCATGTTACTTAGAATAAATTCGCAACTAACACAACATTGGACGTTTATTTATTATTTCGAATCGGAAGTTGAAGGATGTTCCACAATGTCTGTTTTTGAGGAAGTATGTTATTAGTAGATCTTGTCGGGAAAACAAAAATGAGGTACGAATATATTTGTATGACGTTCATGAATAAGCGATTTAGATGTATACACAGCTGAATTTGTATTTAAATATCCCTATTATTATTGAAGATAAAATAACCAAATAGTATTTTTTCAATAAATTTTCAAGGTGAATAATTTATTTAAACTGCGATAACAAATTTGGTAAAAAAGATGCCAGACCGTTTTTATCAATGCTTATTTCTGTTTTCAAATCCACTGAAACCTGTATATTTTTTTACATGGAATGTTTTTAAAAAAAGGACGCGTCTCATGTTGACATTATCGTGAATCGAGTGCTACTACACTTTATTCAAGATTAAACGTGAGATTATACGCATGTTTGTAATGAATCATGGGTTTGTTCCTTGATTTATCGCTACAAGTAGGTATGCAAGGTGTAAAAATTTAAAAATATCCAACGCGATAGATAGAACTTAATACTTATTATATTTATATGAAAACAAATAATGTAAAAAAACTAACTCACTTTTATAACTTAAAGTGATTATTACAAAAAATAAAATAAATAATTGTATAATTGTGATTATGATATATAATTGTAATGAGTCCTTTCGCTATTATCTAGCTTGATAAAGCTATGATGCTTGAAGCTCCTTCACATGTCGGCAGAGCATCGACTTAGCTCCATATTTTTAGTTTTTATTGTCTGAACTATTTAGGTGACTTTATATGTTCTGGCTTTGTTAAGAGTTGGGCAATTTATTGCCTATATACTTTTGTTTATAGTTCATTGTTGGTGGTTTCTATCTCATAATAATGGTTTTCGGAGGATATTTTAAAGACTGAGCTTACTGAGTACCTAGCAAGACGTCGGTGATAAAACGTAAACTAACATACAATAAATAATAGGTGGACTTTTTTCAATATTTTAGGATCAACACATTGAAAATATATGTGACATGTCACGTTGCTCTTGCGTATGCAATAAAAGACAATGTAACATGCGTTTACCTCGTGGATTCTTGAAGTTTGTAGTCAGAAAAAGTTTCCCGTAATCCTCATTACGATTATCACTAAAAAGCACAGAATGAAGCTAATACATACACTTCAAAATAAACAATTTATAAATTTGTTAGCGTTCACGTCCTTGGTAACAAATTTGTTAAAATGGCTGTACAATATAAAACCTATATTAATACTTATTTAGGTAAACGTTTGATCTCTGTAGGTACTAGTAATAAAAATAAGTACATAAGACAATAAAATTAACAACAAAGCAGGTTTGCTAATAAACATTGGTTCAATGACCATGTCATTGATGTTTTAGAGCTTGGATAATTAATCATTAAAGCGGTTCAACATAGGTACAATCGCCCACATTTATACGCGTATGGACAGATGCCAAAAGTATGGCATTTGTTACTATTTTTGCTACGAGCGAGCGTAGAGTACGTACTATAGCTGGGCGTTCATAGAAATACTTATTTATAGTGTAAAACAGCAAATTTGTTTATTTGTTTGATATGAGCTTCGTTTTTGTATGTGATAGGCCGTCAAACGAGCAGTTGGATCACCCAATCTTAAGGTTATCGGCGTTGCCCACGGACGCCTGCAACATCAAGGAGGTAAAAGTTGTGTGCTGTTGGCGTTTTAGGCAATTTGAGGGTGGGAAGAGGGGGAAGATTGCGCCTCCACTTCACGCATTCACACAGCGAAAAACAACAAAAGCTTATCAACCCAATTTTCATGAAAATTTCGCAGACATTCTATCCTTTCCAGTACAGTGTTTATACCGAGGAAGAGGAGATAGGACACATAAGCCAATACATGCAGGCTAAAAGCAGTAGAAGCGAGTACAAAAAATAGAAGAATAAGAATAAGGGTCGATCGTCAATAAACGTACAAGGTCCTAGTAATTGGCTAATTACGTACCTATTAATTGAGTAGCCATTGATTACGTGAAACGTACAATTGATTCCGGTTCACATTAATTCTAGTTAAATACAATTCCTTACTCTTTTAGCATTTAATTTAATAATGAAATTGCTAAGGCTGTTTCGTTGAACTAATTTCGAAAACAGCACCTTATACAAAAGCTGTTTTCTCCTACATCCACAATAATTTTTACAAAATCATTAGAATCGACAGTCTCTAAAAGCCATGTTCCGACAGTACATTCTTTTTTACCACTTTTGTAATTATGGGTGGTCTCTATACACAATAGTTCCATTGCAGTCATAATAATAAACTAAATCCACACATATTTTTACGTAGCTAGAGGTTAGCAGTTAGCACCAAAAATAAATATAATGAGTTAAACAATGCGACTCCATTTTCTGTAATTTTAGAATAAATCTAGAAGAAAACATAAAAAAAAACTGAAACCTAATAAATTATTCACTATTCATTTCCTCAGTTAGAAACGATGACTATCAGAAATCAAGGATGGCAAACGAAAGGGGCTGATACCCCAGCGACGATTACTATCAGCTGTTGCCTGTAAAATTTGCAATCTAATGCCGACATTAAAAATAAAAGAAGTCAGTATGCTTTCAATATTGCAATAAATATTTTAATAGCTTTTAAATTACCTACTTTTTGGTTAAAATAGGACAAATCCTTGATGAAAATCTTTTTAATTTATTAATTCATACATTTCAGTTCGGGTATTATTATCTCTTTTTGATTTGGATGATTTACAAGGTACGGTGAACCATTCTATGTAAATAAAAACTAACTTTGTCATATAGAAAAGCCTTTTGATATTGATAAGCATCTTATTAACAAATTTTATGTTGTTCTGAAATAGTGATTTGAATATTTTAATGAAAACTGGTTAATACTAGAACGCAAATGAATCATTTAAATAGTAGGCGTTACGTTAGGAAAACCAAGATGTTAAACATAGATAAATAATGTTTTAAATTGTTCTTGTCTTTGCCAACATGTGTAGATAAAACAAATGGAATTGGAACTATAACATTTTCGATCATACTGAAAATACAAATTTTAACTAAGTTTCGAACTCAGCTGACAATGAAACCAAACTGAGATTTTTTAATTAAGTAAAAAAGTTCAATTTTAGAATATTGTTTTTTATTTAATCTCATAGAATAAAAAGAATTCTTGATTTGCATCACATCTTAAGTGAACCCAATTTTGTAAACTATTAAACTTTTATGGGTAGTTGAAGGATATAACTATTGTAATCTGATCGTAATTATTAAAAAAGCTTTATTAGCTTTACATACTTTATATAGTCAATAAAGTAGTAATAAAATAATTGGTTACATGGCCGTCTTAAGTAATTTATCGAATATGTTGCTTGGTATACAAGGATAAACTTCGAAATTCTATAAAAGTTTAAAACAATCTGTTATTCTGTCACAATACGAGATCGAACTATTGATTCTCGTTTATTTCGTCAATAGCTCGAATTTAAAAAAAAATTGGACAGCCCACATTGATCATTTCTAATTTTAATATTGAAAAACAAAAAAAAAAAACTTTACGGACACAAAATAAGGCAACACTACACATAATTAATATTCATTTGCCCACATCTAAATTTGTATTGAAAATACCCATTTTCCGACTGTGCATCACAGTTTACCGTAACACCGCTACAGATAACTCGCACCCTTCTTTACTCAAGCCCTTATCAATGGGGAATTGCATGTTGAGTACCAACAATACTCAATAATATATAATGCCCGAACGCGAACTCGTGCGCAGTCACTGCCACGGTCGCCGATCCAGCGCCAGTCTTTAACGCAACCTCGCGCAGTCCAAACGCGTGTCAAAACCAATCATTAAGAAAAGTGATACGATATTCAATTTCGAATGTCATAAAATAGTGTTGTGTTGTGACGTAATAACGAACGAGTTTTATTTCTGTCTACTATTAAAATAAAGCGTCAAGGTGTGTATTGAACTATGTGGGTTTATGTAGGACGAGTTTAATGTTAATTAGAAGTAGGCAGGGTTTGTAGTTGTGATTTGTGCATGTTTATTGCAAATAGTGTCATCACTATATGTCTGATTAAGAGAAACTATATTTTTATGAGAAAATAACAGTGTGGCATACATACTAGCTGGCTTGGTTTATGAACTACGGTTACTGTTACATTCCCCGTAGTCTGTAACTGTTTTTGTGACCAGTAAATAACAGTATTCATTTTTTATCGATACTTTGACATCGTGGTTTAGGTTTAAATATGGACTTAATTGCCAGTTAATGAATTGGATGATGTCTTCTTAATGTTTACTTAATGGTTAAAAAACTACTTAGTCACACATGCGGTAATACTATAATCAATTTAATTGAAAGATTTTGTTTTAATGTGATGATTTATCCGTAGTATTCGTAAAATAACATCGAGCCGGTCTTCAAACCGGCTTTTAATAAAGAATTCATTCGGCGGCGGTAGCTGACGATTCAAACAAAATGTCAACTGTGCTATTTTGAGGATAAAATTAAGATTCAATTCGGCTTTGAGGTCACCAATGACAAGCAATGCGTAATAAACAAATGCGGTACAGGGTCTTGTCATCCATGTGGACACAACATGTGAACAGATTCGCAAAACAAAAATAAACATCTTTTGTATTGACAAATGATTCTGTTGCTAACAGACTGTGACGCGTCCAAATTTATTTTGTTGCACTAACATGACAAGCTTCAGACCAGTTTTATTACTAGCATTCCTTCAAAAAACTCTGCTGATAATTAAGAACATATTTCCGCATTATAGGCGAAGGCAACTGAGCTAACTAATATTTTGATAATGTTATTTTACAGATGAACACGCTTGTGCTACTATTCGGGTTGTCAATTTGCATGGTCGGCGTCTACGCGAGGCATCTAGAAGATCACATTAGTGACTCTGCATCATTATCACCAGACCACAACGATGGCGTAAGGAAGCACGGATCGGAATCGCGCCATCGTCGCCGAAGGTGGCAAATGAACTATGGTTACGATTATTCTGTGCCGCCAACTCACGCTTATTATCCTGAACGAAGGGAGTACGAAAATCGTAACCAACAGCAAGATCTTTTACCTCAGATAGTAAAATTACTTGAGGAAATCGTAACTTATGTTAAAAGGCCAGCAGCTCCAGTAGCACCGCAGCCTATCTACATACCCTACCCCGTCCCCTACCCAGTACCTCAATACAGTTCTTGTTCAGACAATGCTACAAAGAAACCATCGATTCACAACAGATTCCCTGAAATGGAAGATACGAATCAAAATTGGGGATTCGTCACTAACAAAGATGACGACTCGGATGACTTAAGTGACACTGGCAGGCCGATCTCCTTCGAACCACTTAAACCATTGCGACCACTGAAACGACCCTCGCCAAAGGTGGAACATGGCAGCAGCCAGGCAGATGTAAGTAATAATCTTAACAAATCGTACATTCTACCTACACTTATTATCTATGCTCATCAAAGATAATTTTATAATTCGAATGCATTGATCATGTTTTTCCTGGTTAGACCTTCAACAAAGCTAAACAAATAAACGTGAGGCGGGTTATTTAAAAAAAATAATGATTTAGTACATAAAACCAAAAGCCACGTTACGTAATCCCTGTTTACATTATTTCGAGCATCTTTGATGTTCATCGCCTAAGTTTATAAAAGAGTTTTTCAATCAAATTCAATGTTATTATCAGCAGTGGAGCAGTAAACGAAGTCTACTATCCAGTTATTTACGCGTTGCTGGTTCCACTTTCTGATTTCGTGTGCACAAGCCGACAATTCCTTTAGATAACAACATATCAATGTCGCCTTTAATGTTAGAATCTTCTTTTGCAGAACAAGCAGCCGTCTACCCCGGCACCACAATTCAGCGACCAGCCTGGTTCGTTGAGGACTCCGAGCATGTGTAACGCTGCTATCCTCTCATGCTGTGCAGACGATAAAGCGCAACAAAGAGTGTGCTTCAACGGATTCGGTTGTGGCGTCTCATACGACAATGGAAACGCTTGCAGCGACGAATCAATATCAGCTGCTCTGGATTCCTTTAAAGCAGCATACTCGCCCGTGCAGTGAGTCCTTGTAACTAAATTGTATGAGAAAAAATAATTGTCAGTATTGTCGTAACCGCGTTAGTGGTTTCTATGTTAGATATTGTTGTATTTGTTAATGTTAACTTCCAAAGCCTGCTGATGTATGACGCTTGTTAACACAAGAAATTCTAAAATGTCGATTCCTAAATTTTATTTATTTAAAATTTTCACTTTGGTTGAAACGTTAGAATAGCAAGCAAGAGTAATAAATGATGTGGCACATTATCAAGAATTCAGGGACCTGTTACAGTAACACGGTACATTTACATTGAGTTAAATGTATTTTAGGAAATTCAATGTAGCAGGTTCTTTTGTAATGTGCCGTTTATGACACGAGTAGCCTCGGACAAGGCTAGCCGTAAGACCACTTAGTTTCAATTGGAGCCAACTGAATCAATACTGAATACATTGTAAACGAAACAAACTATTTCAAAATATATTTTATATAAGGATCAAGCCAAACCACCTTTATACAGTAATTGTAACATTAAATACAATAGTAGTATTTTTGTACTAAAATACTTTTTTCGATGCCATATTTAATTGTCGTTCCTTTGCTTTTGTAAATACGTATTGTTTTAAATGATATTGATAACTGTTGCGCACTAGGCTGGACGATTGATGAATATTAAGATTTCGTCGATAAGGATGATATTTGTGTAATAATAGTTAAAGTACCTAAGCTACCGGCAGTGATTCTAGTGAAAGAGAAATATCATATATTTCTGGTCGAATCGATAATTGTTTTTCTAAACAGTTTAGTGTTCAACAGTCGAAAAGCATTTATATACGTCACTTAGAAATTATTTTGTTGTAGTCTTATTTTTATTGGCAGCTGAGCAATCGAATAAGTGTTTCCTAGTCTGTATTTTAGCATTAGTATGTATAAGTAATAAATAAAGAAAATAATAACAACCACATAGCACCTGTTTCTTATACTATAACTGCTACCACAGAAAAATTGCTAACAAAACCTTTTCGTAATTTAAAATTATTACTTAACGCTAGACATGAAGGCAATGACTTATCTATTACGAGTTCTTTAGTTCTTCTATTTTATATAAAATTTTCCTATGAAAGGTTTATTTAAAGATGGGGAAATTCATCAAATAGCTTATCTCGTCCAGAGTAAAGCGATAAGGAGTGTCAGGCTCTTACTGACTGAAATCCATTAGGAGAAAGAACTCCTCTGCCTTCTCCTGCTCCGAACTGAGTACTTTGTAACTCTGTCTTTTAATTCTTCCAAGGTAGGTACTCAGTGCTAATTAAACTAATTGATGGGACCAATTAAATGAGCCAGTTCCTTACTTCCCACTTTTAATTATTTACTGAAATTAGACTAGATATTAGAGCTAGTTGAGTAATTAATATTTATATAACTAAATTATGTTTAAGTCTGTATGTACTTACATACATCGCGCGTGATAACAATTGAGGAAGTTATGCAGCTTATTAATTGCAATTGCCGATTTCCTTTAACTTCTTGTTTATTACTGGTTCGATAGGTAACTTGGTATGTATTCGTTAATTTTTTTTTTTTTTTTTTATTTTTATTTTTATTTATTTATTTAAGTCAGGCATCTGCGGCCCATAGAGAATACAATACATAAATATATTATAACATTAAATCATAAACTAATACATATGTTACATAGATAACTTAAAAACTAATGCACACGTAGTGTCGGCGTCGTGTTACGCTGCGTGGTGTCGCGTAGCCATCCTCGGAACCTCCGATATACGACACCCTTCGGCCAAAACTCTTCCTTGAGGAATGTCTCCAAGTGATGAGTTGGAACTCGCACCATGAACGAATTAAAGTTCGTATTGTGGCGCGACTCCAACTTCGCCACCTTCAAGGTCCAGTTGGTCTTGGATCGGACATACTCCACGATCTGCTCCACCGTCGTGGTGTGATGTAGACGGGACACGTACAACTGCGTCGTTGGTACTGCAGGACGCAGCAGGATGTTTGGTCCAGTTAGTGCAGTTCCGCACTTATTCCTACAAGTTGGCCTCTTTTTTCTCCTTTCTACCTTTTTGAAGCCATCCTTGTCGCACGTGTCCTTCTTAGGACTAGTCTGTGGCTGTGATGTGCCACGGGTTTGTTTACCCCCTTTTGCTTTGGCCCGCTTTGTTTGCGTCACAGCGGGCTTGTTGGTGGCTGCAACTGCTGCGTAGGCGCGTTTGGGGGTCGATGTTCCTACGCAAGGTTCGGCCGCAGGTGTTGACACAGCAGCGGCGGCGGCGGCGGGGCGGGGTGCATCGTCAGCTACATCGGCGACCGGTGACGCACTCGAATTCGCCGACTCGAAACTGATGACAGACGCGTTTTGCGCACCGCGACGAGTATTCACATTAATTACATCAAATGACCCACTTATAGAAACAGCGTTGCGCAACAACGCTACTTCACCACGCAGGTCACTGATGGTCACCTGTGAAGCTTCCATCTTGGACTTCATATCTTCCAGGCTCGCCTTAAGACACGTTATGTCTTTCAACAGCCTGGTGACATCGACGTGATCGAACGTGACGGGAGGCAGCTTATGCAAGTCTTTCGCCACGAACTCAGGCACGTCATCAGGATCTGTCCTCTTCAGCAGGGAGATGATATCCTGCAGGCTCTTGTCCCCACCGTCCCTTCGGCGGGATGGCATCTGCTCGAGTTGTCCGAGCGACTTGAAGAGTAGCAGCTTTGCACTGCAAACCTCATCCTCTTTGTAGGCTGATCTGCAGATCTGCACGATGCTGACCTCATCCATATAATCGATGGCATGATTAATGAATGCCAAAACTTCGTTGGCGATGAGCGGTTTAGAACTCATCGCGACTAAAACGGGCAGCGGCTAAAGCCGCGCAAAACGCGAATATAATATTCGTACCGTGCAGCGAAAACGCGACTGTTCTGTAGCGCGCATTGCACTGCACTGTTAATAACACACCTCATCCATTCGGTTGCGGGGTAAGCGCAATGAGGCACCGCGACCACGGCCCAGAGCAGGAGAAGGAACTGGGGGTTTTTTGTCAGTAAGAGTCTGACTCTCCGTCCCGCCCAACGCTGGGTGGGAGAAGTCATTTGATGATTTACCCCTTACAAAAAAGCCGGAATTTTAAAGAAAAAAAATTCTTTGAGATTCTCTCAATACCAAAGGAGTGCGTCGCCGGCCTCTTGTGAAAATAATTAGGGATTTGAGGATCGAGGATGAGGGAGAAGGATTGGGCCTCCGGTAACCTCACTCACACGGCAAAACACAACGTAAGTGTTGTGTCACACTCCCACACTTGAATAAATATTTTTAAAAGTTCTGATATTGTCCCTGTACTGACTTAATTTTTCATTTGTTACCAAATAATGAAATAATTTTACAAACTGTAGATTAATAATATATATTTAAAGTTCGTGCTAAAAGGAAAGAGCAAATAACTAGCAAGAAAACAAATAAAAATTACTATACTAAAGTATGAATGAATAGACTTATACTGTTATCAAATTTTCAATACATTACTCACCTTTATATTGCCTTAGATAACTTAAACAGTTACGTTACTAAACATTGTGTCAATGTAACGGTGTCCCACAAAGATAACGGGTTACTTTTACTGCGCTCTTATCAGTAAGGTGATGTTCTCGTGGATGCACCTAATATGCTAATATCAATGTTATGTGTACTACATTAAAGGCCTGTTTCCCTTCATATAAGTACCCGATAAATGTAATATGGAGATAGTTCATAAAAGTTATGTTCTGTTTTCAAATTTATTTCGTACATAGTGGCTGTACAGACATTGTGACGTGTTGGTGTAATTTTTTAATGATGTGAGTAAGTTTTATTGTAATGGGTTGAGAAAAGAAATTTCGTGGTGACCCGGAGACTAACGCACCCGCTCCTCGTACACCATTATACTGGAATGAAACCTGACAAGTACCAATGTGACTTTTCCGAGTATTATGATGTACTTTCTAAGATTATTTAGATACCACTGACATACGGTGAATCATATAGTATATCACCGCAAAAACCATCGCGAGGAAACCAGGTCTTTAATTTCTAATTATAAGTTTGAAATCGCCAATCCACCTTGAGCAAGCGGTTTGATTAATGCTCAATTTTTCTCCGTGTGAGTAGAGGTACTTGCTCATCAGTGGGTACTTATATACACTGATGATGTTAACAGTGTGAGAGAAAGCAAAAAGATCATCCAAAAAGATAGTCCATTCAAAACGTAGGCTTCTTGACGTGCTAACATTCAACAGTATGATCTATATATTACCTACTAGCTTTTGCCCGCGACCGACTTTTGTTCCCGTGGAATAGTGACTTCTTGCAGATTTTTGGTTTAAAAACTATCCTATGTCCTTTTTCGAGTTCCAAACTACGTCTGTGCCAAATTTCACACAAATAGGTTCAGTAGTAGGCGTGAAGAAAGGACAGACATACGGACAGACAGAGTTACTTTCGCATTCATAATATTAGTTTCGATTACAAGTATTAAATTATCATCCAGTAAAAATATCAAGATTGTAAAAAGCTACATGGCAAAGCAAAACAACGTGCTTTAAAAACCGCATCGTGGCAGAAGACATTCTTGTTCCTGCAGTGTAAGGTCATTAAGTATAGGAAACCATAATTGTTTTTGTTAAGCACAGACGATCGTGTTCGTGACTAAACATGCATTTTATACTTATTCATAAAAAAACTCAACAAGTAATGAATAAGTGTGACAACCCTATTTATTTCCTTCCTTATACGAGAAGAAGCGCATTTTACTAAGGATAATGTGTAATAATATGCAGTTTTATATATTATAAACAGGCACTGAAACCATGTATAAACGTAACGATATATAAATACTTATCCGTAATTTAATACGTGCCCATAGTGGCCAGTCAGTTTTCCGAAGGTACCACTTAAACTTCAAATTTTCGAAAATAATCCGTAGTTGCGTGGTAAGTACGATAAGACCGCGGCCAAGACTTGGAACAGGAGAAGAAACGGGGAGTTGTCAGTCTGATACTCCGTCTCGCCATACCCT